AACCTACTATTTAGGTAACCCCTAAACCCTAAACCCTAAACCCCTAAACCCTAAACCCCTAACCCCTAAACCCTAAACCCCTAAACCCTAAACCCCTAAACCCTAAACCCTAACCTGCAGCCCTAGGGCCAGAGTACCCTTAAAGGAGCCCTTCAAATCTCCGCTCCCAGGTCTCAGAGGCTCCCACGGAGCCAGCATCCACGCTTTTGAACGACTGCGAACCCTAAGAGCTCGGCACTTGGCGGGGTGTTTCGGCTTTAGGGCTGTGGGGGTTTAGGNNNGTTGAAGGCTTAGGGCTTAGGGTTTAAGGCTTCGGGCTGTAGGGTTTAGGCTTTAGGGCTGTAGGGTTCCAGGTTGAGGCATCAAGTTGTAGGGTGTATAGGGTCTGTTATAGGGTCTATGCAGGCTGAGGCTTAGGGCCTCGTTAGTGGCTCTATCAGAAGCGCTCGAGCTATACCTTGCCCAAAGTCAGAAAAACCGTTGCATGCAGAAATTTGTCAGGAAAACTTCACCCCTCGCAGCGCTTCAGGCTCCATTGGGGGTATCTATCTATCTGTCTATCTATCTATCTATCTATCTATATATATATATATATATCTGTGTGTGTGTCTTGATTGCTATGCTGTCTAACGCGGACATGTTTTGGATGACGTAGGTGGTTGCTGGTGACGAAAAGCTGGTAATATTGGTATTGGATGCGCTTTCGTGACTGAGTACCGCAGCCGCTACTGGCTTCTACTACTTGACGCGTTCCTGCTTGCTGTGAGTACTACGGTACTGTGGTATACTCTTTCCGCGACCATCACGACCGCTGTTGCCATTACAATCGCTACTACCGCTGCGACGACGACTACGGCTGCAACTGGCACGGCCACCTCGACTTCTTCTGCTAGTGCTTTTACTACTTCTGGATGAAGTCCCCTAAACCTTAAACCCTAAACCCTATAAACCCTAAACCCACCAAGGCCGGCAAACCTCGTGTGGGCTCTGGCAACTCTGGTCCACTGCGAGGCACGCTTTTGGGGGTTGGAGGGTTTAGGGTTTAGGGGTTCTGCTTTGGTTCGGCTTTGGTGTTTTCGAGTTTGGTGTTTAGGCTGCACTCGTTGGTTTAATGCCGTGGCTTCCGTCTACATGAGTCTACATCAGGGTTCCAAGCGTGCGATGCGTGTCGGCTTCTTTTGGGGAGCAGGCTGAACTGGCTTTAAGTCTCAGCGTGCCTATATGACTTCGGGGCCCGAGCCCCTGAACCGTTAGATCCGGAGCCACCAGACCTCGGGAAATGTGGGAGATGAAGAAGGAAGCATACAATAGACTGTGAATATTAATCGGATCCTGAATGCAAGGACACATCCCGAATTTTCAACCCCTCGCCCCAGCCTCTAAACTCTAAGCTCTATAAGACCCTAATAAACCCTAAACCCTATAAGCCCTATTTCCCCTAAACCCTATAAAACCCAATTAAGCCCCCTAATAAACCCTAAGCCCTACAAAACCCTAAACCCTAAACCCCTGAATGTTCCTAAGCCTTATAAACCCTATAAACCCTAAACCCTGAACCCCGTAAGCCCTAAATTTCCTAAATCTTCATACTGAAGGGTTCCTTCGAGCGTAGTCGTCGACCTGTCTTGCGAGTTGTGAGCTTCTCGGGCAGCCGGCCTTCAGAGGAACCCAGGGTGTAGGTTTAGGGTTTAGGGTTTAGGGCGTAGGGTGTAGGGTTAGGGTTAGGGTTTAGGGTGTAGGGTGCAGGGTTAGGGTTTAGGGTGTAGGGTTTAGGAGTCATTGGGGTTTGGGAGTCGTTGGGGCTTTATAGGAGTCTCTGGGGCGTTAGGAGTCTTTGGAGCTTTAGGAGTCTTTGGAGTCTTTGGGGTTTAGGGGTACATTGAACCTGCAACCTTAAAGCCTAAACGGTAAGCCCTAAACCCTCAGCTCAAAGCCCTACACCCTGCCCTAAACCCTGCAGGATAGTAGGCTATGACCCCTTTTGTTATCGGGCATGACGCCCAAAGCAGTAGTAGGGTGTTTGTGATCTCCAGGAAATGTCTATTCAAACAGCCGTGATCGCTGCTACCGGCAAGCTCTTGCATGCTACCGTGTCAAACTTTCTGTGTGCTGACCCCAAACCCGAAAGTCTGAGAAGTGTCCGAGGATACCCCTAAACCCATCAAAAGACCCAGTTCCCGTTCCCCTAACCCCTAAACCCTAAACCCCTAAACCCCTAAACCCTAAACACCCCAAACCAGAGTCAGGCCCTAGTCCCTACGCTGCACGGAGTAGCGAATTTTTCAAGGAGTTGCTCTCGGCGGCCATGGCCGCTGCCGGGCGCCAGATGACCTTCAAGCCGTCCCTGCTTCCCTCAAGAGGGGGGTTAGCTGTTTAGGGGCTCTAAAAGCTTACCCGAATGGTCCATGTACCCAAATATTATATACTTTGGCCGTAAAGTAATCCGTATATAGGCACTTTGGGGCCAAAGTATAGACTATGTGGGCACATGGACCCTTAGGGTTTGGGGTTTAAGGACCCGTTTAGGGTCTGTGCATCTAGGGCTTAGGGGACAAGGTTTCCGTAAGGATGCCTGTGGGGGTTGCTTCTAGGGTTTATAGGGTTTCTAGGGTTTATAGGGTTTATAGGGTTTAGGGTTTATAGGGTTTATAGGGTTTATAGGGTTTAGGGTTTATGAAATTGGGTGAGGCCTGGGGATTAGGATTCATAAGGGTTTTATGGCAATCTCATCCCGTGTCTGTTCGGCTTGATCACCCGAAGTCCTTCCGTCAGCCCTCCCAAACCCTATTTTTTAGGAGAATACACGGGGAAATGAGGGATTAGACTTTAGCGGAAATCTAGATGAGGCCCAACCACACAGGTTTTTTGGGTTGCAGCTTTGCCGGAAGAACCACCAGACCATAAACCGTAAACATGGCTTTAGGGTTTAGGGGTTAGGATCCCCTGTAGTACCCTTTTGCCTTGTTTATTTCGGGGTCTCCTTTTTAAAGCCGAATATTAGGAACGAGGGTACCCTTATTTTAAAGGGTTTATTGGGGAACCTAGCTTAACCTTAGCGGTCGAGTAGGCAGATTTTAAGCGATTGTGGGATGGGTAAACACCCTGCACCCCAAACCCAAAAAGGATGGTATTAAAACCTTAAACCCCGATAGTATTACTGGCCAGCCATTCTAAATCCCTCCTGATAACCATGTAAACCCCTCTTACTGCCGGGAAAGCACACACCATTATCCGGGCTTGAATGCAACGGTAGAAAACACACTACAAACAAAAACCGTATCATAATACTTTATAATTGCAGGCCCTTGCCCGAATCCCTACAAGAAGCCTTAAATATAAAGCAACCCTTATGGAGCCCTTGAAGGATATGAAGGTACCCCCTGTTCCAATTTTCATGGCCTCTGTGTCAGCCAGAGGCTGGAGCCCAGCAACATCGCTCGATCACTCGCCGTGTCGGAGCCAATTGGGGCGCCGTCCACTGGGGCGCTGGCTGGCTGAAGTTTTGATTGAGTGTAAAATAGAGGCCTAAACAAGTGCGAATACTAGTTTGTGGGAAGGGGATCCTTATCGTCGTTGTATAGTACAGTATAATAAGTTAGTGATGACCATTTCTATTTTCTAACCATGCCCCCCCCCCTATGCCCAACCCAAGCCAAGAACTCATCTTTGAAAATCATCCTCGTAACCCTCAATCCCCAACCCAAAGCCCCAACTCAAGCAAACAAAACCCTCACTCCCCCAACCCAAGTCCCAACATACCCCCAACCTCGAAGCACTCCCGAAAAGCACCCTCGGCCCTCGACCTCTAACCCGCGACAATAGAAATGGTCATCTCAAATACAATGTCGAAACTAGGAATAAGGTTTGATGCAAAGGTTGTAACTACAATATACTTATAATCCGTAAATTTCACGGATTATTTTTGGATGTATTGGCATCACGGTTTGCGATTTCAGCGGCCTTCGCCCCCTGTCACTCGTGTTACCCATGTTACCAATCTCTCACTGTTGATCTGTCCCACAGACAGCGGCCCAAGCATCATTTCTCGATTTTCCCAGCAAGTGCAGCTGTCTTTCGACCATTTCTTCAGCCATGCATTTGCCACATGTCTTGACAGTTGGGACGCTTGCCATATTCCTGTTGCTGTCTAAAACGCCAACGCAATCGTCTCTTCAAGTCCGTTCAGGTTTCCAGCATGTTCCAGGACACGTTCCAGTGTTGGGTCACCCGAGGTTTGCATTGCCGCGGTTTCAACGTCTGAGTTGCTTGCTGTGCAAAGTTCATCGACGGACTCGGTCTTTGACGTTCTCACGTGACTCCAAGACTCTTTGCCAGGCATGCAACGAACTGGAGCAGTCAGCAATGTTGCGCGCAGACTTGGGACCAGAATTATTGGCAGTCGCTGCGGGCTTTTGGCATACCTGTGCGGTGCGACCAGATGGTCGGTTCGTGTGCTTTGGAGGTGGACACAGCACAGATGGACAGTGTGATGTTCCAGCAGACTTGGGACCGGTTTTGGCAGTCGCTGCGGGCGCTTGGCACACCTGTGCAGTGCGAGCCGACGGTCGGTTGGCCTGCTTTGGAAAAAACGAGGATGGACAGTGTAGTGCGCCAGCAGACTTGGGACCAGTTTTGGCAGTCGCTGCGGGAGTTGGGCATACTTGTGCAGTGCGTGCAGATGGTCGGTTGGTCTGCTTTGGAAACAACGAGCATGGACGGTGTGATGTGCCAGCAGCCTTGGGACCAGTTTTGGCAGTCGCTACGGGCGCTTTTCATACCTGTGCAGTGCGAACAGATGGTCGGTTGGTCTGCTTTGGAAACAACAAATATGGACAGAGTGATGTGCCAGCAGACGTGGGACCAGTTTTGGCAGTCGCTGCGGGCGTCAGGCATACTTGTGCAGTGCGAGCAGATGGTCGGTTGGTCTGCTTTGGAAACAACGAGGATGGACAGTGTGATGTGCCAGCAGCCTTGGGACCAGTTTTGGCAGTCGCTGCGGGAGCTGGGCATACTTGTGCAGTGCGAGCAGATGGTCGGTTGGTCTGCTTTGGAAACAACGAGGATGGACAGTGTGAGGTGCCAGCAGCCTTGGGACCAGTTTTGGCAGTCGCTACGGGCGCTTTTCATACCTGTGCAGTTCAAACCGATGGTAAGATATTTTGCTTCGGCGAACGCATTTTTGGTCAATGTGAAGTTCCCGACCACTGGGAAGACAATATTTATGTTCAACCTTAGGCTTTTTTCGGGTTTAGGGTTTGGGGTTCCCATTTCAACCGTAAGGGGCTTTCGGCTGGATAGTGTGGGAGTTTTATTGGTGGGAGTTGAGGTGATCTTTCTAGGTCTTGAGGTGGATCTGGTGTTGGTTTTTTGGGGGTTGGGACTTTGGGTGTGTCTGGCGTTGGGTCTATGGGTGGGTCTTCCTATGGATCTTCTAGTGGGCTAGTGGGTTTTCTCGGGGCTGGTCAGCAAATGGTGGGTTTTTCATTTTCGTGAGGCGGTTCTAGCGGTTTTCTCTGGGAAAACTGTGGGGTGAGGGGGGGGGGGGATTATGGGTTGAAAATGAAATCCCTAAACCCTATCATCGTTATTTTATTAGGGATGACCATTTCTATTCTCGCGGGTTAGGGGTTGAGGGTGCTTTTCGGGAGAGCTTCAAGGCATGGGGTTATGTTGGGACTTGGGGGAGTGAGTGAGGGTTTCGCGGATGATTTTTTCAGGATTGATTTCTTGAGTTGCGGCTTTGGGTTGGGGATTGCGGGTTACGAGGATGAGTTTCAAAGATGATTTCTTGGGTTTGGCATAGGGCGGGGGTTGCGTGGTTAGAAAATGGCAATGGTCATCACTAACTTAATATACCCCAGGACCCTTTTCCCTAAACCCTAGGCCCTAAACCCTAAACCCTAAACTAAGGTCTGTATACGACTCATGTGGTTAGGATGACAGGGTCAGAAGCGGACCGGGCTTCCTTTAGAAACTCAGAAGCCACCGTAAGGTTTAGTGTGGGATTCAACAGAGTTCTGTAAGGGGGTAGGGTTCTAGCCCTTACATAAAGGGCGGAGGATTCGTGATGTGGGTTTCAGCAGCTTCGAAGTTAGATGATGCAGAGCTTATAGAGGGCTACGGAGCCCCGTATCCCTGAAGCATTAGCTTGGTTTGTTGAGGCTGTTGTTCCTTCGGTCTCCAGTTGGGTCCTCTGTGGCGCCGATGTCATGTCTGTTGTTGCTCCACGTACTTGGCTTATTTGTTCTAGTTGCGATTGTGGTTGCTTCTTGTTGGTGTCGTTGCTGTTGCTGCTGCTGTGGCTGTTGTTGCTGCTGATGCCGATTTCAACGATAGTTGCAGTGTTTCCTTTACTCCAAGCAGCCGTATTTTCGTCCTAGGGTGATATTCTTTTACCCACCGATACCCCTGCCAAACCCGAGAGTGCAGTAACCCTCATAGACTATTAGACACTGTGAAGGAGCCCTTAAAAGAGCCCTACCGTAGCAGCACGCTTGTGGCGTCGAGGCTATGCCAGGAAGTCTGCTGCAGAGCTGCAGGACCGTAAGGGCAACCTCCAACTAATGGGGGCCTGTTCGGAGCTGATGGCTGATGCTGATGTCTTGACCCTTACACCCTAAACCCCAAACTCCAAAAACCCTAAAAACCCCAGAAACCCTAAAATCATACCCTAAAAACCCTAAAAACCCCAAAAAGCCTAAAAACCCTAAAAGCCATAAAAACCCTAAAAACCCTAAACCCTGTACCTTCGACCCAACAGGAGCTGAAGAATCAGGGTTGGGGGTTCGGCAGCTCTTGGTTTAGAGGCGGAGCCTTTAGTATGGCCTCCCAGGAGGCTCACCACGGGTGCGTAGCTTAGGGTTTACCTGGGCCCCAAAAGAACCTACTTTTTTAAGGACTTATATAAAGAAATCATAGTAAGGAGCCCTAAAAGGGGAGGTTCTTAAGGGTCCAGGTAGGGTTTAGGGTTTAGGTGGCATTTGTACAGAATCAGATTTCTGTGCAGCACCAAGGGGTTCATATACGGTTTAGGGCTTTGGGTTTGGGGTTTGGGGTGTGTACCTAGACTCGGAGGTTTTTGGATAGGAGCCCGGTAAACTCTACATGTGCCTGGGCCCCTCAACTTGCTAGCAGCAAAGCTGCTGTCTGCACATGCACCGAATTAGTACGGCAATGTGACAACCTGCAACGGACTTTCATGCAACAAGCGCCATAGGGTCAGGTTATTTGGAACTTATCCTAACACCGATGCCCTAAGCACGTTTAGATGAAGCCCTAAACCGTAGAGCCCTAAACCCCAAAACTCTTATCCTCCGCTTTCACCTTCCACAGGCCTCCCGCCCGAGAGCCTGGCAACTGCGGCCCGGTGTTTAACAGAGGCCCCTGCAGAGGGTTTTAGGGTTTAGGGTTTACAATAATTTGGGGGTTTTGGGTTCAGGGTTCACGGTTGGAGGTGTGCTCGACAGGTCGTGCGCTTTGCAGCGCGCAGTAGCACAAAGATACGCCCACCCAAGGACCACCCATACACTCACAGCAAGCCAGCAAATCGAGAAACCGTTAACAATCTAAATCTGAAGATAAAACGCAGGAACATGTGGGAATCCCTGAGGGAATCTAGGTTAACATCGGCCAGTGGATGCTGTTTGCATGACTAGTGCACGCCGCAGGCAAACGTGTAAGAGGTCAAGGTTATAAAGCCTTTCCATACGGACAGTGCGACAGGAAGGCCGAAGGCCAGCAGATAGATGTTGCCCAGAGCAGCATCGGTGTTTCCGAGGTTCCATGCCTTTCTGTTTGCTTGGCTGAAGCTGTCTGTCTCTGTCTGTGTGTGTGTGTGTGTGTTTGTGTGGGTGTGTTATCGGTCTGCAGCCTATAGCTTTTCGTTGAAGCTGAGAAGGGGTTTAGGGTTCAGGGTTTAGGGTTTATAGGGTTTAGGGTCTATAGGGTTTCTGGTTTAGTATTCGTCGCTATTACATGATGCTTTGGAAGCGCGTAGACAGACTAATCTGATCACTCATGTGCACGCACACAAACACATTTCCCTGCTACACATGGTTTTCAAGTCATTATGAATGCTCCAACATTGTAGTCCAAATCGAACAGTCAGTTGAAGCCTGGACATTTTTGTCATATAGTATTATTCTTGTGAGGAAGCACCCCATCCGCTCCAGCAGAAGTAGTCTGCTCGAAAAGTCCTAACCACTCACTAAAACGCAAGACGCAAAGCTGCCTCTGGAAGCAGTAAATCTGCTACTGCCGCTACATCGCCCTGTACAGGACAACTGCCTGAAACCCAAAGCCTTTTCTCCTAACTTAGACCCCTTTAGCCTCATGCCCTGCCCTGAGTAAACGGACACTAATAAAGAACCTCTAAAAGACTCTAGTGATTCTAGCACGTATGGCTTCAAAACCCCCAAATGCTCTGGCTCTATAGTATCTGGGCTTTTACCACCAGGTCCCATCGCCTTAAATCCCACATCACCTAAACAACCTTACCTTAATCCCTTAAAATGCCTACATCGCTGAAGCCCTTAACCCGCATTTCCCTCTTCCATAAAGGGCCCTACCCTGAACCGTACACCTCTTCAGTCTCGTCGTCGACTCGTCATCCTTAAACTGCTAACTAGGGTTTAGGGTTTAGGGGT